CGCCCACTGAGAATTAGAAAATGGTCCCTTCCCCAAGATACTGTGCTGAGAGAACACACACTCTCTCTTTCCGACATACCTCTGTCTGGCAACCAGGTAAACACTTTTAAAATAAAATAAAATGCTAAGTAAATACACATTTTAAAAAATACATATGTCGTGTCAAATATTGTCTCTAATTCAAATGAGAACTAAAATAAAATGAAGACCTTAAGATTTAGTTACCTGTAATGCTAAAAGAGGAATACATATTACATTTTTCTACATTTCTTTACAAGTTCATTTTCTACTTCCACCAATTAACATGCTCTATAAAGAACTTTGTAAAAATATATTGCAGTATGTCAAAATAAAAATGAGTACGGCTCAAAGCATGGCTCTTCATTAGAAAGATTAATTTTTGTACTTCCCACTTTGTAAAGATGTACTGGATTAACACCTTAGTGATATTTATGTACAGATATAACAGCAAATAATTCCATCCATTTTCAGTAATAGCTGGGGGATCCTAAACTCTCTACATAAATGATTCTTCAAGATATACTCCCAACATTTCCCAATGCTATGCAGTCAGAATAGCTATGATGGCAGGAAGATATTTAAAAGTTCATTCTTCTTTTGAAAAATGTATTTTATATATATATATATGTATATATATATATACACACACACACACATATATAAGGAAATAAAAATATATTATGAAAAATATATAGGTTACAGATTAATATTGCATGCATGTTTTATAAAATATATAACATAATGTATTCATGTTGTATATGATATATAACATACTTGCATGACATACTGTGTGTGTATGTGTATACATTTCTTCTCTAATTATGCCACTCTAAAAAGAGGAATTTCCCTAATAAATTAGGAAAAATGAAATAAAAACTATTTTGATTTTTGTTTCTTAAAATAGTAACTTACAAAACCTATTAAAATTGAAATACTATAGAACTAAGTTTTGAGATTCTTTGCAAACATACAACTATACTAAGTTTTCTGGAAGCATGGATGTAATTTCTACCATATTTGTTGATTTGTTTCTGATGAGTGGTCCCTACAAATGAATTTTGATTTTCCTAGATTTGTTCAAAATTCAGAATAAGATTTATGTAGCTAAAGTTATAAAGTTTCATTTTAAATATGAACTTTACAGAAATGTCAAGTAGCAGATTTCTTTTTCATTCTGAAAACTTTGATGAGAACAATTTTGTTTTAAAATTAAAGAAGTGGTATAGATGACAAGAAAGACAAACCTCAAGTTCTTAAGTTTTATGTCATAAGTAATATGATCTCTATTTTTAAAAAAGGGTCTAAATGGTTAGCGTCATGACCAAGAATGCAGATAACCACCTACCATAACAGTTCCTCCAATTATTTAACGGGTCACCTGCTACCACTTCCAATTCACAAGTCATGAATTTGATGTACAATGGTAAAGTGAAGCTGGACCTTGTTAAATATATTTTTACAAAATCATTTTTAATTGTTGGTAAATATTTGAAAATTTCCTACATTTGGCAACATTTGAGTACTACCACCTGAATATAAAATAACAACTGGAAGCTCTCTCCCAAAGGTCAAAAGAGGAGTTTCAGGGTTTTTATTTTCCCAAGGCAGTTTCAAGCAGTAAATGGAGTTTACAGAAGGGAGAGGAGGTTGGGTGGGGAGTAAAAGGGCACTCAAGGCCCACCCAGAGCAGGTCAATACATATGCGCAGAAAGAAAGGATGGAATGGAAGAACTGACATGTATGGTCATTCAATCTAAAGCTGTTTCACAAAAAATGACATTCTTCCTTTCACTGATGTTTTTCAACATTGTGCTTTTGATGTTTCCTACTTTAATTAACAGGAAATGGGTAGGCTTCAAATTATATTTTAGAGCACTTGTTTTACAGGCAAATTAAATAATTACTTATATAACAAGCATGGCAATGTTATTGTATAATGACATATTTGATATTTCAGGGAGCACAAAAATGATTAGATGAATACACAATAGTTCTAAGATGGACCCACTCATTTCTCCAGACCAAAAAACAACTGAATATTGCCTAAAATGACCTGAGAGGTAGCAAATAATTCTGCCAGCCTTGAAATACAAAGCTCTTTGCTATTTCTTCTTGTGCAGATAATGTTTGTATGAGCTGGAACTATTGTTAACCACTGTTGAGGATGACATTTTCCCTTCTAATTGATAAACACTAGCTCCATTAAAAATAATAGCCATGTAAAAAAGAGCTCAGAAATTATAGTGGGAATCTTGGTCATCTATTGACACAGCTTGATATTAGCTCCAACTACCAAGTATTTTCCAGAAAGTTTATACTTTATACTTCAGCTTATAAGCATAAAACTACAGAGTAAAGAATAATTTCAGGCAATGTCTTTTGTTGGATGTTTTCTGTTCTTAAATAAAGCTGTTGAGTCACAATACAACCAAAGACACCAAAAAGGCAGGATTTAAAAAAAAAATCAATTTCTCTAGGAAAGTGACACATCATAAATATATTTTGTTGAGAAACTGAAGGTATTTTTCTAAGAAACTTTTCTATATTACAAAGCAGATGCTTTGTTAAATGTTCATACACATTTTCCAATAAATGGATTGTATTTTGATTGCATCAACATTTCTACATCTTAGAAGTATGATTACTATGTTCCATCAGGATCATTAATTAGCTTAATTTCCCGAAAATTAAAATTTTCAACTTCAGTGAAACTTGTCTTAAAAATAACTCTTGCTCTTTTTTCAAGTTCAGAGAAAGTGAGTATATTTAATTGTTCTAACCCTGTAACATACAGAACACATGAGCTAAGTCCAGTTCAAAAATTTTACTCAGGTGTTATGATTCAATTTCTTAATTAAGTCATGTCAAAAAGTAGATGCTTATAAGCATTTTATTTATATAATAAAAAAGACATTAGTGGTTAACATATCCTCATTTTTTTTCCTGAAAACAAATATAAATTTCAAATTAAAATAAAAATTTGAAAGTCATTTCAGGAAACACATTTTAAAATAATACTAACTTCACCTTTTAGAAAAGAACTTCTAGCCAAATGAAATTAGCACTTCATCATTATAATAATATCTTTATTCAGTCATAGAGACAGTATATAGTATTAAAATGACTCACTGACACTTGATGAAAAACAGTGCCATAGACACCAAGTTTTTAAATATATATTTCCTTTTAATATTGCTCCCTTTATTTCCCCTTACCACAGTCCTCTTTTTATTCATATTTATTTCTGCTTTGAGGTCCTAATGGTGATACACATCTATCCGATTGTCCTTAATAGAGATTTCAAATGACAAAAAGGCAACAAGACCATAAAAACATATGTATAAAACCCTCTTTGATAAAAAATGCACACCTACACTGCTAAGGCATTTTGCACCTTCTTTAATATTTGTCACAAAATCACCACAGGAAATACAAGCAGTATGATATGGATCTTCACCAATTCATTTTTGAAAATGCTCTAGTAGGTCTTCAAAAATTATGTGAGACTGAATCAAAATCTTAAGTTCCTGTATTTTCCTGTAGCATGATTTCTTATTTAACTTAGCCAAAACAATTCTTCACATTTAAAATATTCCATTAGTTGGCCATGTGATAGCATGAGAAATTCTATTCAATACAATATGTCTAGTAAAATTAAGTTGACTTTAACCACATTGTCACTTAAAGGCGGCAATTAAATTAGCCGGAAACACAAAACTGAAAAGTAGCCTTGGGAATAACTTTTCTTAAAACCATCACCAAAACCTTACTGCACTGATCAACTGTGCAAGAAAAGCATCTTAAAGCTGAAGAAAGGGCACTATCACTACTTGGCTTACCAAAGAACTCATAAAAGTAAAAGGCTCTAACCATTTTATTTTAGTAGATTCTCTAATATGTACATTCTGCTACTTTTCTGCAGTTTAACTTTATTAATCATTTCACACTTTTTCTTTTTCTATACCATCTAAAAAATAATAATAATTCTAGTTTAAAATTTATTTTAAAAAAAACACATTAATTCAGAGTATGCCCCTTTGGTTGTAAAACACCATTATCCCAAATACAAGAATGCACAGAAGACTTCTAGAAGGAAATTAAAATGCACAAAATCCTATAATGCAACCACCTCTTGGTGACCATCAATCTCACTAGATATTGCTATAACCTTTCATGCATATTTAATGTTCATGGGCCTTTTGCCTGATGGGATTTGTAGTTTCTCAAAAATGTGTACATAACAGTCATTTTCTTCTTTTTGTGAAACTATGAATCTAGAGTCTTAAATATCTTGCAAATATCATTCCACTGCATTCTGGATGATTGATCAGATTCAGCCCTGATATTCTAACACTGCATAACCTTATCAGCCATTATGAGAATGCACATATATGGATATGAATATGCACATATGTATTATTTTATCAAAGGATAAAAATCCTTTGATATTGATATCTATAATCTATGTTTATGATGTAAAATAAGAATGATGACTCTTAGAAGGAAAACATGTGCCAAAAGTATCTATACATATGAAAATAACATTTCAAATACATATGGAAACTTCATTTGAAAACACTGAAACACTTGCTGGGCATTTCAATTGATATCGTGTATATTCATACATTTATTTGGGTACAAATTTTGTGTTTTCATTATCATATTTTTATGTATTCATACATACATATAATTTTGATCACCTTTTCCTACATTCAGAAATTCTCAGCTTTGTGTATAACTTTCAGGCATCAATACTCAACATCTGCCAGCAACACAACTCCCTACATACTTCAGTCTCTCTACCATACCCATTTAATAGATTCTTCAAAAGATTCTTCAAAACCATTTAGATAATGCCTTCCTAAATCCATCTGGAAAGAGAAAATACATTTCCTCTGAATTATTACATAACCCTAATGGGTCCACTATCCTCTCATATAGGATCCAACCTCCATCCCATTTCCCTTGATGGCACCTACCCTAGTGTTGTCATGGTGACGATGGTATACCAGAAGGCTGCAGGAATGCTGGTGAACTTGCTGGCAGAAGACCCCTTCTCTGCATAGAACATAACTGTAGCGAAAATGATGATAGCCATGGTGAGCGAGAAGAGCAAGAAGCCCAACTCTGAGGCACAACTCTTTAGTGTGTACCCCAGGATGCGCAGGCCTTGAGAGTGGCGGGAAAACTTAAAGATCCGGAAGACCCGGAACACGCGGAGGGTGACAAACGCTCCGCTGACGTCCTCGTTGTCCGTCATCACTAGCCCAATGTAATAAGGCAGGATGGCCACCACGTCGATGATACTCATGACACTACGTACAAAACGGTAACGACTGGGGGCTGCAGCCAGGCGAAGCAGGTACTCAACTGTGAAGATCATGACGCAGGCTGTGTCCAAGCAAAAGAAGGCCACCGCATAGCGCTCCCCACAGGGCAGCTCTTTAATGTGACCTGGGCTAGACCCGCAGGGCACTGTTTCTACCACGTTAGCGATGACGGAGACGGCGATGAAGAACCCGGTAACATAGTAGAACACCAGGGCCATCGTGCTGGTGTGGGGGTTCTCAAATGCCCGCCAGACCCTCTGCCGCGCGGTCATGGTGGGCAGCGCGCTCTCCCCGGTGTTGTCAGTGTCGGCGTCGTCCTGCAGGCGCTCCGCGTTCTCTCGCCGGCGGTCCTTGTACTCTTCGTAACAGCAGTCTCCAATAATTTCAGGGATGAGGCCAAAGAAAGCCAGTTCTTCGTCATAAGCAGAGATGCACTCGTGGCGAGGATAGTGGAGCTTCCCAGTGCGGTAGAAATTCAGGATGTGGCGGAAGATGTCTGGGTCACGGTCAAAAAAATACTGCTGAGTTTCTGGATGGTAGAAGAAGTCCCTCTCAGAACTGCCCAGCAGAGTGTCCGGATAACGTTCCAGGGTGTCCTGCCACGTCTGGAAACGGGTGCCACTCACATTGAGCACAATTAGAGCATCTTGAGTCCTTTTCCTCTCCTGCCTTGGGGGTGCTGGCATGGGCCCCGAGGCCACAGGCATCCACCCAATGGCTGCTGCCCTTGCAAAGGGCAGCCACGCTGCTACCCCCGCCGCCATGGTTCCTGGAAGTGTAGGCGAGAAGGGCAGTCAGGCCTCTAGAGTGGGTCAAAGTAGCCACAATCACCCACTACCTCCCTTCAAACGAAAAGCTACTGAGAAAGATGGTCCTGGGGTACCGCTGTTAGTCTCAGGTAGCGCTCCTGGTGAAGTCACAGTTCTCAGTAGTGCAAGTGACCCTTAAACACAGGTATCTGAAGTAACAGAGGGGGAAGCAAAACAAAACAAGTCCTAACAATCGCGCCCAACAGAGTCTAACCAAACCTGTCCCAGCTGTCGGCCCAGGTCTCCCCTGGCACCAATAAGTCACAGGTGACTTTAGATGCAGCGATTTCTTCAAACAGGTGTCTTTGATTTTTCCCCCGGCACAGTCTGGATAATGTGGGGTCAGTACGCGTCGTTCGCAGAGAGAAAACGAAGGACAGTCACTCAGTGGTATTCGTCTGATGAATCAGGGAACCCTTCCGCTCTCCCTCTTAGCTCTTCAAAACCTTCCCTTTCCGAGTGGCCCTTCCCGCCAAAGGAGTCTCAGAACGGCGACCTGTTGTTTTAGCTTCCTGCATGCGGCCACAGCCGCTGCCCCACGTCTCTTCAGGGGTCCGGTCACCGCCTCGACTCCTCCGGCCGAAGTGACGGATGGAGGTGCTGCGCGCTGGGCACCGGGAGCCGAGGGGCGTTAGTGCAGATCGGCCTCCCCGTCGTCTACAGGCACGCCTGGCGTCTTCCGAACGCGTTCGCCCAATCGCCCCTTCACTCTCTTTTCAAGTTCAGCTCAGGTGCAGCGTGACAGTTACGGAGCCCGGGAGCTGGCGTCCGCCGCCGCCGTCGCGGCAGCAGCGTCTGCCTCCGCGCAGAATGCGCCTCTCCCGCGGTACATACCTGGCAAAGTGCGCGCCGGGGCTGAGTTGCATGGACTTTCTCCTCGTCGTGCACCCGGAAAGGGAAAAGCCGAGAGAGCAGCTCGCTAGCAGCCGAATCCCAGGCGCCCAGAGTACAAATGCAGCTCAAGCGAGCTCTCCCCCTTCTCCCATCCCCCCTTGCTTCTCTCCTCCTTTTCACCTTCCAAACGCCAGGCGCAGGCGAGCCGAGCTGCAGCAACAAGTTCAAAAGGTGCGGAGGCGGCGACAGCGGAGGGGACCCGCTCCTGCCAACTTACTGCGCCGCCGCTGCCGCCCAGGTCCGGGCGGCGGGGTGCGGGGCGGCGGGGCTGCGGGGCTGCGGGGCGGCTGGGCGGGCGGCGGCGGCGCCGCGGGGCCGGGGCCGGGGCGGACGCGGGCAGGCGCCGAAGCGCGGAGGCAGGAGGCGCTCGGCTACGCGAGGGGTCGGGAGGGCGACACGCTGCTTCCCCGCCGGTGGGTGGTCCTGCATCTCCCCGGGCTCCCCGCGCCGCTCTGCTCGTGCGATCAATAAATAAGGAGAAAATAAATAAATAATCGCGCACGCCCCGCCACGCAGGTTCTGAGAGGCGTCTGCTGCCTTTCCCTCCGCTTGACCTTTCTCCGCCCCCGCCCCCTCCGGCTCCTGCGCTCCACCCCAGCCACCCACCGGCCCCGGCGCAAAATGTCACCGAAGGAGAGCGTCCAGGTGGATCTGCCGGGGAGGAGAGCGAGCCTGGTGGAACAAAGGGAAGCTTCAAGCGCTCGGCTGCGGCGGTTCGGTGAAGGAGAGGAGCGCGGGGATCGGTGCCTGGCTTCCGCCTCCCTGGGACCTGGTTCAACGCGAGCGTGGGAAAAAAGGGAAACAGAGAGAGAGGCTGGGAAGGAGGGTGAGCCGAGCGGAACGCGCAGGAATTGGTTGTCTTCTGGGGGCTACTGGGTGACAAGACCTGCAAAACCCCGCGGCGGAATTTTTAAGTTGCATTTCCGTCTCTTTATTCGTGCAAACCAGATGTTTGCAGGCGTTAATATGTCATCTAGCCAACTTGCCGAAAAGTCAGGCAGTCTCCTTGGTCCAGGTCTCGCCGCAACTCCTTTTCGCGTCCTCTGAGAATGACAGGAAGGATTTAGATCCCTTTTCTGAATGTCAGCATCTAGAGAGACGTGAGTGTCTGTGTGCGCGTCCCCTTCACTCTCTCTCTGCCATATCTGCGCATATCTAAAATGGTTAAAGTAGTTAAAGGTGTCAGTGTGAGGAGTAAGTGATATGATGTGAGAGTAGGTAACTGTCGCGGCCAACCGTTTTGTTTTTCTTCTACCCCGCCCCCCAGTCATTAAGAATCTTCCTAAAAACCAACATTACCTTTATCGCCACTAGATGGCGTGAGTGGAGAGAAGTTAAATCTACACCGAAGGTTCGGATGCTTTAGAAAGGTGAAGGATCAACAAATTGACCCGAGAGATCTATCACATAAATATCCTCAAATCCCCCACACCCCACCCACCTTTAGAGTATTTATATGAGAGTAACTACTTAGGCTTGAGCCTGCATTTTGATGCAGGAATGAGATGTGGAGTTTCCCGTTGAAATACCTTTTAAAAATTAAATTTAGATTACTGATGAGTAATAATGATATTAATAACAATAATAATAATGAAGGCCATAGGAAATACTGAAGCTTCATCTGTGTTGTTTAAGGAGCGAAGGCTAACTTCTGTGTGAAAATGACCTTTCCCAGGCTTGGTTTGACTGTTCTTGGTTTGTAAAGGAAGTGGACTGTGATGTATTCTTGAATTGACTTTCAGGCCTTAGAGACCTTAGAGACAAAACGGGTTAACCTTAAAAGTCTGAAATGTAATACGTCGATAAAAGATAGGAACTGAAAAAAAAGAGTATACAGTAAATGACCAGAGAAGGAGAAAAACGAACCTCATGATGTACAGGATTTTCTGTAGAGATGGAAAGATATTTTTTTATTGTTTATTGGTGTAGAGGTTTAGGGAATCCCATGTTAGTAGTTAATAAAGTCGGGGCTAATGCACCGTGTAAGCTTAGAAATAGAACTGAAGACACCTGCTGTTTATCTGTTTGTATTACTTGAAGTGAAAGATGCTTGTAACAATAACCTGCATAACTGAAAAACAAACACTTTAACTGGAAAAGAAATAAGGGTACTATTTAATTATTACTGTAAGAAAATTAACCCTTTCCTAATCTGAACAATAAGGTATCATCATAACAGGTGCATCCAGAGAGTGGAGAGACATGAATATTCAATTGATGCCAAAGTGGTGTGCCATCCTGTAGAAATGGGGCAAGTGACCTAAATAGAGCCTTTAAAACTTCCCTGCAGGAAACCTAACACAAATATAAACCTAGGTGTTTAACTGCACAAAAACCCCTAGATAAGCAAGAATATAAAATCTTCAGTTTTAAGGTTTTATGATCTGCTCTCCCCCACTCTCTGCAAGCTTCTTGATAGAGTGGAAAGAATGTGGGCTTACAAGTTAAAACACATCTAGATTCACATTCTAGCCCAAGAAATTACTCAGACTATGTTTCCATTGGCAAATTACTTCACTTTTGTTTAGAAATTATGGATGATAAAACTTTTTACTCCTTACTGTGAAGAGTAAACAGGAAAATACTTCTGAACACTGATGTGGAAGTCAGCATACACAGAGGGTACTCAATATCAATTTCTTTTTACTTTAATGCACAGTGGAAATTTATATTATATCCAGCCTGTATTTGAAATTCTCACATTTTTTTATGTTTACTTTTGCCACTGAGTTCAAGAGTCCCCTTGTCATGATATGCTGGTGACCCTGATTTTTTAATACTCATTCCTGCATTGAAATGATGTTATGTACACAAAATCCAGCATAACACTCTATATGTTTCTGTTACCCCGGGTTCCTATTCTTCCTTCTCATATTGTCATTTCACATACTCTGCTTGGTGCTGGAAAGAAGCCTCATGGTGGACACAGATTGTGTTCTGTTCTTCACCAGTTTTCCCCCACAAAGACACACACTCATCCAGTAATTCCTGTATATTCCACCCTGTTTCCCAATCCTTATTGTTCACCTTAAGTGATTTTTTAAAACTATTTTGAGATAATTACAGATTCCCACAGAGTTGTGAGATGTAATAGAGATGATTCCTTATATTATCAACTAGGTTCCACCAAAGATAACATCTTGCATATTACAGTACAATATCACGACCAGGAAATTTACATCGATACAATCCACCCACCTTATTCAGATTTCACCAGTTTTACATACATTCATGTTTCTGTATTATACTTAGTTCTGTCTAGTTGTATCATACATGTAAATTTGTGTGACCACCATCAAGGTAAACAGAAGATTCCCACCACAAAGCCCAGCTCTCTCCTTCCCTCCCCCTTCCCTGTCCCTTGTCAACCACTAATCCATTCTCCTCTATGATTTATCAATTCAAGAATGTTATATAAAAGCAACCAGGCAATGGAACCTTTCAAGACTGTCTTAGTTTACTCAGTAAAATTACGTTAGACTCATCCATGCTGTTGCATGTATCAATAGTTTATTCCTTTTAATTGCTGAATATTACCACACTTTGATTAAGCATTTACCCACTACAGGACATCTGGATTGGTTCCAATTTTTGACTAGTATAAATAAAGCTTCCATGGAAATTCAAGTACAGGTTACTGTGTGAACGTAAGTTTTCATTTCTTTAGGATAAATACACAAGAATGCAAATGCTGGGTTGTATGAAAGATGTATGCTTAGTTTTGGGAGAAGCTGCCAACTGTTCTTCTAGAGTGGCTGTACCATTTTATATCCCACCAGTAAATTATAAGTTATCTAGCTTTTCAGAATCCTCACCAGCATTTGGAATTATCACGATTTTTTTGTGTAAGCCATTCTTATAGCATATAGTGACATGTCATTGCAGTTTTAATTTGCATTCTCTAATGACTAATTTTGTTAAACATATTTTTATGTGTTTATTTGCCATCTGTGTATTTTTCAGCAAAATATATGTTTCTGTCTTTTGCTTAGTTTTAAATGGATTGCTTGCAGTTTTTTTACTGTTGATTTTGAGAGTTCTTCATACATTCTAAATAACTGTCCTTTGTCAAATATGTTCCTTGCAAATATTTTTTCCTAGTCTGTAGCTTGTCTTTTCATTCTCCTCAGAGGATTTTCTGGAAAGCAAAATTTTCTAATGCTAATGAGATCCATATTATGAATTTTTCCTTTTTATGGATCATGCTGTTGGTGTCAACTCTAACAACTCTGCCTAGACCCATGTTCCCAAAATTTTCTCTATTTTTTTCTCTATGTTTCATAGTTTTACATTTTAAACTTAAGTCCACAAGTTATTTTGAGTTAACTTTTATATAAGGTATGGTGCTTAGGTCGAAGTTCTTTATTTTTTGCCTATGGTTATCTGATTGTTCCAGAACCATCTGTTGAAAAGTCTATCCTTTCTATATTGAATTGTTTCTCCATCATTGTCAAAAATAAATTGAGTATATTTTTGCATTCTAGTTTTAGGTTCTCTGTTTTGTTCCATTGATATGTGTTTCCCCTCTCACTAAAAACACACTTGCTTGATTACGTAGCTGTACTCTTAATTAAAGTTGTTCCTGCCACTTCATTATTCTTTTTCAGAGTTGATTTAGCTCTTCTAGCTTCTTGCCTTTCTATGTTAATTTTGAAATACTATGTATTTCAAAACAAAAAACCTTGCTGGGATTTTAATAGGCATTGCATTACACCTATAAATCAATTTGAGGGAATGGACATGTTTATTATATTGAATCTTTCAATCCATGAGCATGGTATGTCTCTCCATGTACTTAACTTGTTTTATTTCTTTCATCAGTATTTTGAAGTCTTCAGGATACAAATTCTGTCCCTGCTCTAGTACCTTTATACTAAGTATTTAATTTTCTTTGATGCTATTATAAATACTATTACATGTTTTTTAAAATCTGGTTTCCATATATTCATTGTTAATATAGAAATGCAATTGGCTTTTGTGTGTTGATCTTGTACCTGCAATTTTGTTGAACTTCCTTATTAGTTCTTGGGCTTTATATAGTGACAATCATCTTCATGACCTAAAGACTCTGTTTTATTTCATCCCTTTTAGTCATATACCTTTTAGAGTTTTTTTATGCTCTTATAATCATGTCACTACCTCTTTAAATATCTTCCAGTGATTTCAGAAATCATTCCTTAGCAGAGAAAATAGAACCCTTCAATATTTCAATTTCCTCTACCCTTTAAGTCTGATCTCATACTATCTTAATGCTAGTTTACTTCAGTCACATTCAGCTTTTTTTTGGGTTACAGGATTTGGTGTGTTTTATCTTGATCTGGGTCTTGGTTCCTGCATTTCCTTCTCACAGACCTTGAGTACTCAGCTCTAGCCTCATCCTCCAGGAACATTGCCTAACTCTTTGGATGATGCCCACCTTGAGGGCTCCATCAGAGACTATCATAGCTTCGATGAGATTTGTGTCTTTTCTACTTTTCCTTAGCTACCAGACTGTAACCTCTTTGAGGGAAGGCAATGGTTTTTTCTCTCTCTATCCTCAGTTTCTACAATTGTATTTGACACATAGTAGAAATACAATGAATATTTGCTAATGACTGAATGCTCTAATTAGATAGTTAATATCACCATTTTTCCCATCATAGATTATTATTATAACTCTCCAAAATATTCATAGAGAATCAAGCTGATTTACCACCAAGATGTACAATGGAAAACATTACCTTAGCAATGAGATAAATGATCCACGTTTGTATAGTTGTACAAAGAGTACTTTCTAAGTATACTCACTATGACTGATTTTCAAAAAGGCCTTGTGATGTGGATGTTATCCTTGTTTATTTTATCCAGAAAGAAACAAAGTTCAAGGGGGTTAAATGATGTTCTAACATTATATCATAAAAACTAAGAGGTAGAAGATGACTCATTCCAGGCATTCTGAACCTACAAAACATATCGTTTTAGGTCTGTAAACATATTGCTATTTGTAATAGTGAAGTCTCTGACAATTTGTTGTGCTTAGTACTGGTGATGTATTTGCACAGATGGGTGCCTTCTTCTGTACTCATCCCCCATGGCACACCTCTGCGAGGTCTCTGACCAGGGCAAGAAACCAGTCTGTGGTCATGGAGAAGGGAGGGCACTGCATCTGCTCATTGCATATTTTAACCTATTATGTAACTGCTTAGAGTGATAAACAAATTAATGTCTAGATTATATATTTCATATAAGACAAATTTAATATATCTGACTACATTCTTAGAACCTCTTCCCATGGAACTTTTTTAAAAGTCTGTATTAAATTATTTTACTTTACTGGTTTTTATTGAAATATAATTGACATACAACACTGTAGTAGTTTTAGGTATACAACATAATAATTTGATAAATGCACATATGGGGAAATATTTACCATAATAAGTTTAGTTAAAATCCATTACTACACATAGTTCTAACACTTTTTCTTGTGATGAGAACATTTAAGATCCACTCTCTTAACAACTTTCAAATACACAGTGCAGTATTTTTAACTGTAGTTATCGTGTTGTGCATTACATCCCCAAGACTTAAATGTATTATGCCTGGAAGTTTGTACCTTTTGACCATCTTCATCTATTACCTAGCAACCTTGTATTCAGTTATTTTAACATTGTATCATCTTTTTGTTAAAGAAAAACAGTCCTAAATGAAGAAAGACATTCAATTACCTTATAGAATGAGAAAAACTTCTAGCCAGTAATTGAAATTATGTGCAGTAAATCTTAAGGTCTAACAACTTCAAATTTTTACAAATCAGTTTTTTCCATAAAATAACATGTTCATTTATACTGCTAAATATAAAGAAAAAAATCAACATTTTTACCCTAAAATATTTGATCATAAATCACAAATATTTCACATAAACTATGATTCTATACAAAAATACATAGTTTACATTCATTCATTTTCTAGGTCCCATATTATATCGAGTTTGGCAAATGTATTTTATCCAAAGGTAAGTTTGGTTTGGATCCTTTATTCATTGGAAGATATACAGAAGCTGTCTATGTTTTTGCTTCTGTTCCCCAAGATAATAAAATCTGACAGAATAATTAATAATACAGGGGATATGAGGAAGTCAGAGCATAAGTAAAGCTAGTTAAATATTTAGAACATACTTGGGATTTTCAAATACCTCACAGTATCCCCAGGATATGGCCATCAGGGAAAGGGCAATGACCCTGTGTCTTTTTTGGACCACTATTAAAAAGCTAAGTTGGCAACCTGAGTTTAACTTCTTTTTTCCCTTTATTAGTACTGTCAAAGCCCCTTTCAAAGTCCTCTTCAAAGGATCTTTCCCTTTTTAAGTTTTAGACTTTGAACCTCTCCTATTAAAAATAGCCCATTTTCAGGGTCTTTATTCCTCACATACAGAACATCTTAAATATATTGTATATAATGCAACGGACTTGACTTTCAAAGTTGCCGCAATGCTGCTGTGAGACCCTGTCACATTCTGTGTGACTGCAACTGTAAGCTAACACAGTTTGTAAATAGATATAAAATTTTAACCATCCTGGTATGGCTTCAATTCTGCCTCAAGAGCTGGCCGACATTATGAAGGAACACAGAGGTTGTTTTAATATAAGGAATATATTTTTGTTGTTAAAATATTCATGATATCATGAATGGTGGTGCACATGTTGTTTCAATGAACTAAGAAGGCATGGGACAAATTACAGGGGAAAAAAATCAGTTTTTAACACATTATCGATGTACAAGGCACCAAGTTGGACATTGGCATGACCCAAATTATTCAAGATCAACCTCAAGGAGTTTGATATCTGGGATGAAAAAAAAAAAAAAGAGAGAGCATGGAAGTCTTTTTTAATCCAAAAGTATCCTTTCTTGTGAGTTTCATTTCAGAATTTTTCCCTTAAGTACTTTATTCTGAGAAACTATTTATTTGTTAGAAATGGAAAAAGAGGGAAGATAAGAGGGAACACACAAATTTGCTTCTTGGACTTACTATCATATTTATAACTTTGGGATTAATTGTTATGAAATAATTCTAGTGTCAGAAACTAAGAGTTGTTTCTACAAATAAGAAAGAAGCAGCGAGAGTTCCAAAGAAACAAAACCTTATTTTTCTACAACTGGAGAAAGTAAATTCTTGCATATGCTACTAACATTGACAAAGAAGATAAATTACTTCCCAAACAGCTTATTGTTATTGAAAATCTTAAAGAAGCCTTATAAGGTTTTCATCATTTAAGAAGCCACTTTCTGTGAGAAAATTGGCAATTACTTTCTTTAAAACTATTTGATATGCTCTAACAAACCATTTTGATACACAAAGTATATCTGCTTCATTATTTCTATATACAATAATATAGTTGGCTTTAATAAGTCACTCAAAATAAGTAGAGTATAAAGAGAAGCAACACAATACAATGCTTAAAAATATTTGGTTAATATAAGGTCCCTGGATTACCCCACTTTTAGAAATTGACATTATGTAAATTTTCTATTTACCACTTAGCCTGCATTGGATTTTAATTTAAATAAAGAAAAATATTTAATTGAAGCTTATTAAACTGCCTTTACACTGCAGCTGTTCCAGTCCCTCAGGTAAATATTTAGTGAGAGAGCTTATTAAAGTTTGTTCTGTTTATTAATGTTTAAATTATTTTTTCTTTCCCCTGTGTGAATCCTTTGTGGGAACAGAATTCCCATTAACTTTAAAGAATTCTGTGCATATAGATTTGGGGAGAGCGACATGCTTGGTATGTTTATTAAGTAATTGCCTTTTATGTTTTTAATCTATAGATGTCAAGTTTTCTGTATCTTTTTTTTTCGGGAACAGGAATTAGACTCAATAAAGAAATTTGAAGAGCTTAGCTTTTCTACTATAGTAAAAAATTTCACAGTAAAAGGGGGCATGAATAATTACATTAGTATTTTTGAACATATTTAAAACCATTAATAATATGTAAACATTTAAAATATCTAAAATATGAAAAGAAAAGTTTGTGTGATGTGAGGCAAAGATATGAGAGCGGAAACAGGTATTGCTTGCAAGGAAAAAGAAATTGTGAAGTTAGAGGAGAAAGCAGTTTGAAAAGATATTCTAACACAGATCCTACTCCTTCAGACTGCGTCTACTTATGTAAGTGATTTAAAGAGGAAATAACAAATATGTTTCATTTTATTATAGCCAGGTGCAGGATAAAGCTGAAAGAGAAGAGACTGACAGAAAAATATTTTTTAAAAAGGCCGCTCCAAATAAAGGATACAATAAAAAAGAAAATGAAGGATGGACATAAGATGATAAAATGAAGATGGACATAAAAAAATGTAGCATGTGTGATTATTTGAATGTTGGTCATGAAAGGCTAAGGAGAAAAATATAGATGGCACCAATTGAGTCTAGTGACTGGGAGAAAAAGTACAGGAAACAGGAGAAGAGATGAAAACTTGTTTAGGGAAAGATGCTATCTCCCGTATCGGGAATGTTAAGACTGAGGTTGCAGTAAGCTGGACATACAGGATATAGTGTGATTTAATGGAAGACTTGATTTAGTTACAGATCTTCTAGGAATTTATTTTTTGATATTACACATTCAGATATTAGTATCCTGTTCTAGATCCCAATTTCACTTCCAGTTGTCTTAGATGCAAGTGATTGATCTTGAAAGGGAGAAAATAAAAACCTTTAAGAACCCATTAGAGATTAAGAACAATAATATGTTTCACTGGTGCTCATATTCTATTTACTTAATAACTTCTCTTTTCCTAATAGAGGAATCTATTTTCATCAAAATAACTAGTGAACTATTTGGTTAAAGAATATAAAAAAAATATTTTAATTATCTTGTAGTCATACAGTAGGACAACAGAGAGAGCAACATACATATAGCCTATTAAATTATAAATATATAATTTAAATATGTATGTAAATCTCTCTCTGTCTCTCTCTCTCTTTCTCTCTCTCTCTTTGCTTCTGCCTATCTTTGTCTCTGTCTTCCCGTCCCTCCCATGAGTTCACCCTGAAACTCCCAACCCAACTGTCTTATGACATTCCTTTCCACAGTTGCAGTGCCTTCCTCTGACAATGAGAGTCCTGTTTCTCACTAACCTACATATGTTTACTTATTTCACTGATCCTCCTTTATGCAGCAATCACCCACTGCTGCTACTCTCC